GTGTTTCATTTTCACCACACAAAACGAAATGACTTTCCGAACAACCCCAATATTATAGTCCGTTATATGACCTTTCGGGGAGTACTGATCAATTCATGGAAAATCTGCTAAAAACGACGGTATGCACAATACTTAGCTTTACGGTTTCTGCCTTTTTGGTTTTAGAAATATTTCGAAAAATCAAAGGGGTTAAGTGAACCCTTAACCCCCACCCCCCACCCCCCGCGCCACACAAATGAAAACCATATAACATACTGAAACGGCGGTCTTGCGTAGAACTTCGATTGTGCTTAATTTTTGGTTTTTTGGTCAATCACAACTTGTGATATCTCAAATTTGATCAAAATCAGATGAGTAGTTTAGAAGATAGCGTTAGAGTGCCAAAAGGGCACTCGAGTTCGGAATCTAATTAATCTCAATCAGAACTCGTGATATTTCAAATTTTATCAAAATCGGACGAGTAGTTTAGAAGATAACGTTAGAGTGCCAAAAGGGCACTCTTGAATTCGGAATCTAATTATTGATCTCAATCACAACTTGTGATATCTCAAATTTGATCAAAATCAGATGAGTAGTTTAGAAGATAGCGTTAGAGTGCCAAAAGGGCACTCGAGTTCGGAATCTAATTGATCTCAATCACAACGTGTGATATTTCAAATTTTATCAAAATCGGATGAGTAGTTTAGAAGATAGCGTTAGAGTGACAAAAGGGCACTCTTGAATTCGGAATCTAATTGATCTCAATCACAACTTGTGATATCTCAAATTTGATCAAAATCAGATAAGTAGTTTAGAAGATAGCGTTAGAATGCCAAAAGGGCACTCTTGAATTCGGAATCTAATTATTATTGATCTCAATCACAACTTGTGATATCTCAAATTTGATCAAAATCAGATAAGTAGTTTAGAAGATAGCGTTAGAGTGCCAAAAGGGCACTCTTGAATTCGGAATCTAATTGATCTCAATCACAACTTGTGATATCTCAAATTTGATCAAAATCAGATAAGTAGTTTAGAAGATAGCGTTAGAGTGACAAAAGGGCACTCTTGAATTCGGAATCTAATTGATCTCAATCACAACTTGTGATATCTCAAATTTGATCAAAATCAGATAAGTAGTTTAGAAGATAGCGTTAGAATGCCAAAAGGGCACTCTTGAATTCGGAATCTAATTGATCTCAATCACAACGTGTGATATCTCAAATTTGATCAAAATTAGATGAGTAGTTTAGAAGATAGCGTTAGAATGCCAAAAGGGCACTCTTGAATTCGGAATCTAATTGATCTCAATAACTTGTGATATCTCAAATTTGATCAAAATCAGATAAGTAGTTTAGAAGATAGCGTTAGAATGCCAAAAGGACACTCTTGAGTTCGGAATCTAATTAATCTCAATCAGAACTCGTGATATTTCAAATTTTATCAAAATCGGATGAGTAGTTTAGAAGATAGCGTTAGAGTGACAAAAGGGCACTCTTGAATTCGGAATCTAATATTGATCTCAATCACAACTTTAAAAAATATACGGAATTCAATAAAGATAAAGTTTTATAGCCAAAACGACATTTGGTAGAAAATGTATGACAAATCGGTATGTACCTCTCAAAATTAAACGTAATTCAATCAATATCGTTTTTATTACCATATGGGCATTTGTCATTTTCGTATCTCTTCCATAAAGCTTTTTAGCTCTCAAGACCATTTGAGGGAAGACCTGTACTAAATTTGAACCAAATCGGGCGGGTGAACCGTGTTTAATATTTAAATGCAATAATAGGCAAAACTCAAGCATACTGAAGTAATTCAACAGTTTGATAATTGAGGAACAATTTGAAGAACATAGGAATAATTCATTTTCAATTCCCTTATACATAGGCAACACACACTACATACAAATGTCCTGTTTCATAACAGTGTTGCCAAAATTATCGCCATAAGTGTGGATACTCATCTCGTACTTACGGCAATATTGCCGTAAATACCATGGCATTGCTACAAGTACGGCTGTATATATTTTTTATCGCGGCAAGTGATGGTGTATATATATATATTTAGGTATAGACAATTATGTATATATAAATGACATTTATTGAGCACACACCATACAAAGAACAGGTATTGTTATTCCGTCTGCTCTACCACTCAACCCCCTACATATGAAATTAACAACAAGAGACCAAGACATAAAATAAACCTAGCAAGAAAAAACTATATGATAATAAAAACTATTCAGTATGAAGCACAAATGAAAACCTAAAAAAAAATGTAAAAAAAAAAAAATTATAGCAATAATGATGTTAACGATGGAACTTAATGCTGTCTTGCAAGGAATATGAGGCGCAAGCGTTTTTTAAAAAGATTTTCGGATAAATGTTTTAAATGAGATGGTAATTCATTATACGTCTTTGCAATATTGTAACTGAAGGAGCGTTTAAATAGTGACGTTTTGTGAGTAGGTATAGTTATAAAAAACCGATCTCTAACATTGACATTATGGACGTCAGCTCTGTATGTTACCTTTTCAAATAACTATGACGGAGTTTTGGTTTGAAGTATGCCATGGAACAAACAGGCAGAATGTAATATCCTTCTGTTGTTCATATCAAGCCACTGGAGGGATTTTAATTTATGTGTAATCCGGTCGTATTTTCGGATACCAAATATTAGTCTAAGGCAAGAATTCTGCATTCTCTGAATTCGATTGTAGTCTCTTTTGTCGATACATGGGCCATACACACTATCACAATAGTTAAATTGGGAAAGCACTAAGGATTCACAAAGCATAACCTTAATACTACGATTAATAAGAAATCGGCTATTAAATATTAGTTTAATTGTGTGTGTGTGTGTGTGAGGGTGTGCGAGGGTGTGTGTGTGTGTGTGTGTGTGTGTGTGTGTGTGTGTGTAAACATTCATGGTTCAAATTTCACGAATTCCTGTAATTAATGATGGTGTAATACAGGTTTTAAAAATCAATAATTTTAACTACCAACTCACCATTTTTGACAGAAAAATCGCTAAAACATAACCAACAAACAATTTGGAGATGAGATCAAGCTTAGCTATCAAGGACCGGGATAGCGGTCACAGGCTTCACTTCTTAGAGGATTTGCTGCAAAAGGTAATATAAATTATGTGCTACCGGGGTTATGTTAACAGAAACCTTACATTACAGGTCTCAGCAGCTCCAATAATGGCGACAGATCCATGCCATTCTCCAAAAAGACAAGGAATGCTCTCATCATCTTTTTGGAGACCAGCAAGTTCTGCAGCTTCCTCTTCACTGCCGGGCGAATTCTGGGGTGGCGTTCGTCGAAGAAAGGCGACCGGCGATGCACTTCATCTACCAACTCTCCAATTTTCACCAAAGAAGTGGCACCATTTGCGATGTCAAAGGCGTGTTTCTGTGCCACTCCGTTGGTGATCATTAGCGAGATGGATGACAAGAAGTACACCACCTGTTGCCTTTCTAACAACCTCTGTACTACCAGCCCAGATGTCGACTCCGCACAGATCCGAGAAAGCGCTGCCGAGAACGACGTGGTATCGGTGATGGTCCTTCGTAGGACCAACGACACATCCAGCCTCGGCGATCCACCAGCAACTTGCAGAGCCGCCGACTCAACAGACTGAACCGCCCGTACCCTCGTATTGGCGGCTCTAGAGCAGGCATTCCTGCGTGCCGCCTTCTTCTTCGCCCAATAATCGATGGTGATGAGGGCATATTGGTACGGGAGTGCTGCGAATCGTATCTCTGCTGCAGTCGCCGGTTTCACCTTCCTCTCGAAGATGTGCCGCTGCCGTACCACGGAGAAATGATTTCTTAATTAAGACAATTAATAATATGTTCTATAAGAAATTTTTAAATTTACCCATTGTTTTTTTTGGGTGGCTTCGTCTGGCCACTTCCAGTTTTAGAAATTCAAATCTGGAATACAAGCAGTTAAAATGTACAATGTTTATAATAAATTATCTAAGACAATTGTTTTTAATAAATTACCTGAATTGTTTTGCAAGATCTTGGTCCTTTGTAGGAGCCATGACTATAATTGTAACGTCTCTTATTTGAATTGTGTTGAATTCGCAATTGTTTGAATTTTGTTGAATTGGCAAAACTCCCATGATAAAAAAATTTAGCGCCAAAAATGTTAGTCCATTTGTGACACAATTTCGTGTAGTGTAAAGGCGGAAACACATTACTGTCACGTCACGTGAGCGCACGTGCTATCACGCAAACTCACGTTACCTGCGAAATATGTGCAACTCCACTGACGTATGGAAGTTTATGACGTTTATGTATTTAGAATCATACTACTGTCACCTCACGCATTCACGACATGCTGTTCTGATCTCGCATGATATCACGCCTCCGTTATCCCGCAAAATTACATTTTGTAGTAGAGCGTGACATCACGTCAATTGTTTCCCGAAGTGATCCAGTCATCAAAAAAAATGGACAAATAATTAATTGAAGTGGTGAGACAGCACGAAGGGCTTTACAATCACTCCTCTGCTGAGTACCGGAATCAGAGGGTTCGACAAGAAGTTTGGGAGGAAATTGGTAGAAGCTTAAAAATAACAGGTAAAGTTTGTTCTTTTATTACCTAGTAATATGTATAACAATTTACAAACCTAACACATTAGCAGACTACATAGTACATATACACAGTAAATAAGTACCTGATCGTTATCACGGTGTATTCTACCCCTACGAACTATGTCTATTTGCAGCGTTAGGTGCATGCAAAGTTATATTATCTGGTTCGTATGCATCCGCACATAACATGTTATGAAGATAGCAACAAGCAGAACAATTTTATCCACCAATTCTGGTTGTACTTCCAAGTGTCTACGAAACACTCTCCATCGTGCTACCAAAATACCAAACGCATTTTCCACCACGCGTCGTGCTCTTGATAATTGTATATTTTGTGAGCTTCGTTTTCTTGTAAATGATATTTACTGTATGGACGGAGCGAATATTTTTTAAGTGGAAACGCTTAATCGCCCACGATGACATGTGGCTGAGGTGATCCATTTGGTTCCAATGCTGGTACGTTCAATGTTCTTTGGTCAAGCATTTTTCCAATATCTGACTTTTCAAAAATACCACCATCGCTATTCCTCCCATAAGAGCCAACGTTAATGGCAATAAACTTGTAGTCTGCATCAACTAGCGCCATCAGAACTATAGAATGACTTCCCTTGTAGTTGTAGTATGTGGATCCTGCATTAATAGGACACTGAATATTAATGTGCTTGCCGTCTATAGCAGCAACACAATTCGCAAAATTCCACAGTTGGTTAAATCTAGCTGACGACTTTTTCCATAACTCTTCCGTTGGTTTTGGCATTACAATAGACCGCAAATTGTTCCATATGGCATCACAAACTTCTATTACTATTTGACGAACAGTACTGAAGCCCATTCTGTAATTAAATCCCATACTCCTAAACGAATTTCCAGTTGCCAGAAATCTGAAACTTTGATTTTACGTCTAGCGGACAACGCCAAGACAAAGTGGGACAAACTTCGACGATGTTTTTGCAATGCAAGAAATAGGCTCCTGTCTACCAAAAGTGGCCAGGTTACCAAACAAATTACGCCATGGAAATTTGAAAACCAGATGGCATTTTTGTTACCTTATTTAGAAGGTCGAAGGTAAATACCAATTATCGTACCTATTTGATTCAGAACCTTTGCGAAATTGTTTATAGGGCTCGCGGAAATTTGCAAAATTCACAAAATGAAGAAGACATCCACGTTACCGCCGAACACGTTACTAACGACGATGACGCAGAGGAACATTTAGTAGAAGAACAAAATGCAGACTCTGAAGATACAGCTGAAGAAGGCCACGAAGAACGAAGAAGTGCAGTAACGCAAAAACAAACACCTTCACAAGGTGATATATTGCGCTCCGAAAATACAAAAACATTAGAACATATAAAGAAAAGAAAAAATTGTTCATACCGCAAAATTTCTGCAGCGGATAAAATGGCAGCAATAATGGAACAAAATGCCGCTCTACAAAAACGAAAATTCGAAGGAAAAACATCATCGCAATGTTATATATCTACACATATATATATATATATATATATATATATATAATATTCAGTCGACGGACCGAAATAAGCCTGAAAAATTTTCTTACGTTTTTCAGCTTCGCAACGGCTTAACTGTCACAATTGAAAGTTTCAGATTTTAAAGAATACGGGCCTAGGATGATGCCGTTACTTGGGGAAGTTGTGAAATGATCTAGAACCCTTATAAATAAGGGTTGAAGAATTAGGTTTGATATGCAACTTAAACTACACAATTTTGTCGCTAGTGTTGCCCATGCACCGAGCCCCGTAGCCATTTTTCCGGACAAGTCGGGAAACACGAATCGAAATTTCACTGTGACTAATTTTTCGGAGAAAAATTCCCAAAAAATTCCACGTTACTCGTCGGGCCGTCCCGATAAAAAGTGCACGAGGTGTTTTTTTCCAAAAACGAACGGTTTGGGCTCTATCGAAAAAAAAGGAATAACCCAATTTTTTAGATCTCCCGCGATCGAACGAAAAGAAGTCCAACAGAGTGCACTAGCGCTACTATCAATAATGCAATGACAACGTGTTAAAACATTATTTATAAATATATGGTTAAAACGTAATTTTTTGGTTAGTGCTCGTGTTTATGAAAAAAAACATTTAGTTATTTCAACGAATCTATAATTTCTTGAAGCCTGGCCCTTTGTTTTGGGCCAGGCTTTACGTATTGGGGTATGGCCATCTGGGGTTCACATTTTTTAATAAATTGACCCTTGACTTTGTAGGTCCCCCAATCTACAAAGTCGACCACATAGTTGAGGCCGCGGGTGACTTGCTCCACAGCCACCACACGACCAATCCAGTACCCCCGGAACCGGATCTTTCCCCAAACCATATCTCGGACGACGGTTTGGGGCGGAGGAATTGGTTCGGGATCCGGAGATAGAGGAGCAGGAGACAGTCGTCGGGGTCGTTGAGGTCTAGGAGGAGATGGGGGTGCTGGGAGGATGCTGTCCCACCCAGCCTGGTGGTCGTCACGTCGGGGTCGTGGTCGGGCTCGAGGAGGAGATGGGGGTGCTGGCAGGATGGCGTCCCAGCCAGCCTGGTCGTCTCGACGGCGTGATGAGCCGGTAACAGCTTCCGATGTCGCCAACGCCTGCTTCTTCTACAACCGTGGACGTGGTGCATTTCCATCTCCACGGCGATGAACCAGTAGATCTGCCTGTACTGATGTGTCCGGCTTCACCGCTGTGCCGATGTTTGCATCAACGTCCACTTCGGTTACTACGGCAGGACGGCCGGCGACATCTTCAACTGCGACTGGCTCCACCTCACCAGACGACGCATCGGTGGATGTGGAGTCGTGGGACAACTGCCTCCTCATAGGCTTTCTCCCCCGTTTGGCCTTCTGTTTTTTTTGATACACCTTTGGCTTAATCTCATGCCAGAATGGGGGGAAAAGCCTTAACGCTCGACCCAACATGTCGTGCGCCTCTATTTCTGTCCCATCAGGGTCTACAAATTCGGCGACTTGCGCGTTTTTTATAAGGGTACGTAAAATGGCGAGCGTCTCAGGCAAGGGGTTCTCAATTTGAAATATTGCCGACATAATTTGTTGCAATTTGGCGTCTGTGTATCTCGCTCGGTTGCTTTTGTTTCTCACACCCTTCAGGACATCGCTGTTTAAAAAGAAACCAAGGGCAGCGACCGGGGACATGGCAACCACCGATTTGTTCTGTATGTCGTCAAAATTAAGCGTAATAAAATTGGCGAGATCTTCCCTGATTGCCTTCGAAACTGGCCCACTGTAAAAAACTTTGCAGACGTCTTCGATCTTGACGTCCTCCCTTCTATTGTAATTTATTAAAGCGGCCTTTAGCTCGTGTAGCCTGATGGGACGGAAGAAAAGGCTCTAAAATTAAAAGGAATTAGAATTCATTGTACTTATTTTAAAACAGTTTAACTTACATGTACAGGAGTGGCCATGGTGATCTAATAAGGTGGTGGTTGAGGAAAAAAAAATGTTCTATAAAATGTAAAAAAAAACTTGTGTAATAAAATGTAAAAAAAAGTAGTTCTGTAAAAATGTAAAATAAAAATGTGTTCCAAAATGTCAAAAGAAAATGTATAAAAAAATGTAAAATAAAAAGAAATTATAAAAAAGGTTGGTTGTAAGGTTTTGGTAGGAATGTTGAGAAATTTGAAGTGCTTTAATGAAAGTTTCAAAAAGACTGGTGCCGTTTGAAGGTGAAATATTAGCATTATCTGTTTTATACTGTTATCTGTAATGTTACAAATATAATAAAAATTCTACTTAATCGATCTAGCCTTTATCGTTTTAAGTCCATAAGTTTTCGCATTTCGGTCAGTCTCTCGGATTCGAACGAAATATTGTTCTTAGACTAAATCGGGTGCGAGGAATTCAAATCCGGCGTCCATTTGGACCTGGGAGGTCGTTTTGGCACTAAAAAAAAAAAGTCAAAAAATCGGATGTGACCCCCTGAGATTGAACGCCGAGAGATTATTTATCGGACTAGGGGGTTGGTTGATGGCTCGTTGGAAAGAGGAAGGTTCAAGGAATCTACTGTAAATTTGGGCCACTTCCCGGTTCCGGTACAGCATCTGACCAAAGTCCGGTTAGGTTTTCTCGGGAACCACCCGACCGAATTTTCACTGTAGATTCCTTGAACCTTCCTCTTTCCAACGAGCCATCAACCAGCCCTCCTAGCTTCATTAATAACTTCGCCAGGCCCGTTTAAGCGGGGTCACCTCCGGATTTTTGACTATATTTGCCATTTTGACCCACAGGGGGGCCCCCCACACCCAATCCCAGATGTTGAATTGAAATTAAAAATTCTGAGCATACTAGGAGATACCTTTTATAAAGGAGTTGGAGTGGCAGAAGTTGGAATAAGCAGTGAAACTTATAATTTATAACAAATACCTATATTTTATTAATTGCAGTTGAACAAGTCTGTGATGGATCTGGAACCAAATAGTAGCACCGCATCTCCTGCAGCTCACACATCAGAACCTTTAGCGTCACCTATAGCCGAATCTGGACCAGCTAAAAAACGCCCTATAGACAAACAGTGTTCAGAGAAGAAGCTAGTGATCACGACTATTTCGCCACCTTACCTGAAACATCAAATCCCACGAAACGGCAGAAAGTAGAGGAATCAACCGAAAAAATTTACAAAGAAACGTTAAATCTTCTACGAAGCATAGATAATGTCAGTGTATTCGCACATAGGTTAGGTGGTTTAACCAAAGGGATAACGGAAGGCTCAAATGCAATGAAACAACTTGTAGGAATGAAATGTCGAAACTATTTACAATTTCATTTCTAACATCTTGTCTTTGTAAATGAGGTGGCATATTTATATTAATTTGTGGTAAAACACATCCTCGTCATTTTGAAAGTGTTCATTTAACAATGGTACCCTAAATCTCATACATAAATTATGTAAAGCCGAACATGCATTTACAAGTTTTCCCACAAAATTAGGTTTGTACCTTGCAGTTCGTTCTTGTAGTACTACCCTAAATCGACATTTTAAAACTCCAATTGCCCTTTCTACACAGTTTCTGGGACGAATTGAATGATTTACATTAAAACGTGATTCAGGGGTGTTTTCTGCAGGATTTAAAAATGGTTCCAGAGTCGCAATCACAAGTGGAATCTGTTAATGAAAACGACGATGAGAACCATCAATTATTCTCAGGTAGCTAGTTATATAAATATTGGCCTAAAAATAGTTGCAACTACTTAGCTACTAGACCTCATTTTTCAGATTCACTACCCACGACACCTAGATCATATCGCAGGAACAAAAAAGGGACTGCAGAACGTAATGTACCATCCAAAATATCAAGAGTGTTTCCTTTTTTTGAGAGCAAATCCATCCAACACTTTCTCAATGATTACAGCAATATGCCTGTGAATATTCAACAAAGCATTGAGGCGATTTTCGCTGATGGTATTTCTCAAATAAGTTTTGAGCCGTCTCAGGGTAGAAAATTATCTCTCACTGGTGGCACTTGTCACAGGTAAGGTAACTAATATTCTTAGTAAGTTATTCACTGTTGGGAATATTTCTGGATTGCACATTTTCAGTGCGTCCAGAGCATTTTTTGGAGAACTGTGCGAGGAAGAAATATATTGCCACCAAACTTTCATTTCACCAACTGCTGCTTCCCCATCGATATCCAAGATATCCCCGACTTGTCGCGTAGCATCATTGCTGTTTTTGTGGGTGCCCCGCAATATGCAAGTGCCGAGGCGAGAGCGCATCATCCAAAGGGGGTTTGAACCCCCAAACCCCTCCCTTGTATACGCCCCTGGTGGGGAAGCGCCAAGTTCATAGAAGAGTCAAATTATTACAAAATGTATATTGTTTTTTTTACAAAAATTCTTATATAGCATTTCCTCTTCTTCATAACCCAGGTGGAACACCAATGTTGGTAAAATGTTAGCTCAATATGTGAAAAACATTGGGTAAATGTTGAATACAAATATTAGCCCAATTATACGATGTGAACATTACGCGATAATGGTACAATATGGTATTTCTATATTGCGCCAATACAAATCTAACATATTGTACCAATCTAAATGATAAATATAGAGTCAATGTTAAAAACCAATATTGGTTGTGTTAACATTAGTCATATTGGGCCAATAACCTACTTCTATATTGTCCAAATACAGATTTTTTATATTATACCAAACAGTATAATAAATATAGAATCAATGTTGGAAATCAATATTGGGAAAATTACGAAATGTTATATTCTGCTATATTGGCCTGATAAAGGACTTCTATATTGCCCAAATGTAAATTTTATATATTGTAAAAAGAAGTATTGTAAACATTGGATCAGAATTGTAAAGCAATATTGGGGAAATTTTGATATCAGAACGTTTGGCTACGTTGGTTCAATGAAGTAATTCTATATTGTACCAAGTAATAGCATAAATATTGAATCAAGTTTGTAAACCAATATTGGGAAAAAATCGAAATGTGAATATTTGACAACGTTGGTCAAATATACATTATTGGCATTGTACCAAGCATTATCGTAAATATTGAATCAAGATTGTATACGGATGTTGGGGAAATTTCGAAATGTGAGCATTCCACCATGTTGGTTCAAAAGTAAATTGCTCAAATATAAATTTCACATGTACCATCAGACAAAATAAAGGTTGTGAAGAAATATCGGGGACATATGGAGTGCAAAGTTTTGTATATAATTGGTCCAATATCATATGTTTCTGTATAAAATATAAAATGTAAATATTCAATCTTATTTAGTCTTATTAAGTCCGAATGTTCACATTTTAGATTAATCAATGTCTAAATACGTACGATTGGACAATTCTAACACGGTCTTCGAGATATTGTCTCACAACTTTCATTCAGTATGAAGCACTATATGGAAAAACATAGAACTTTGAAGTAGGATAATGTTGGAGTAGTTACAAAATTTTGAAATTACTTGTATCAATATATTCAATACATTTGTAAATCACAGAATTGTTGACAAGTCAACATTGAGAATTAGGTAGTTATGAATAACAAATAAATTGCAAAAAATATGTTATTATAAAAGAGTAAGTAAGGGTAACAACATAGAAGATATATTAAAATTAATTATCTAAGATAAACACAACATCTATTAATATCTATTACAAACATCCGTAAAAACGACCTAATTTACTATTTAAGCAAAGTATAAGATATTACCAAACGAAAAATTGCAGGTTTAAAACATATAAGCATAAATTCTCTGTCCCAAGTAAAATTTGCACCCCTCTAAAAAAAATGCCATTCTCGAAATAAAAAAGAAAATAGTTGAATTTTGTATTATAAGGGGATCAAATTTTACATCGCATTGCAGGGGCCATTTTCTTGTTAATGGACAATCGGATTTATCATTGATGAAAATTTTAGTTAGGACACCTATGTGTAAAATACAAATTTTTTCATTCATGCACCATAGCAATTGCAGCAAAATATTCACTTTGGGATATATGGTCTAGTGGTAATACAATGCATTTAGAAGCCACATCTGCCGAGCGACAGACGATTGAAATGGCCTCATTGGTTTGGGAGATATTTGCCTCTGTTCCATAAGTCTTTTATAAATTTGTGCCATAGGTCGATTTTTATTACGCAACATACCTTTAAGTTTCCCTAGGTAACTTTCAAATGCAAAGCAATTGAAATCATCTACACTATAATTGTTACTTACTGCATCTTCGACTAAATGAAGAAGACAATGGGTATTATAGATTGGCTCTAAATTTGGATATAACCTCTGAGAATCCGAAATAAATTTCTGTATAAGTGTGATTGCAGTTCTACCTAAAGTTTTCGAATACACGCCTCTGCAAACAATGCGCATTGCAGCATGAAAACAAAGAAAATGTTTATATTTTGAGGTAGGTAATAAATCTTTCATTACAACAGGTCCCGTATATAACAAAAAACTTCGGAGCTCTGACGCTTTCCACATATCTATTTCTACAAAAGATCTAGGTTTCCGGTTAAATTCGGTTGGAAAATATGGGGCCATTTTAAGCATTCGACGGCTAGCTTCTGTCCTAAACTTTAATGCGATGGAACATTTCCAAATAGGTTTAAACCAGTATTGAATCATCCTCCGCATAGTTCCCAAACATGACATATGCATGTAATCCAGAATAAATCCAGACACCAGTCCAAAGTTGTTTATTTCAGTTAGGGGCGATACACCCTTGTGGTGTTGTTCCTCGTGCACTTGCATATGAAATCCGTTGTCTGTACGAGATTCACAATTATAATCCAATGGGTATAACATCCTACTCTCAATTCTCCGACCCTTTACGGTACATTTTTCACACGCAAAGTATGAATTGTGAGGTTTAATATTTTTTAAAAAAGACCTTGCCGGTGCGTCACAAACCATGTACCTTAAAGAACAGGTAATTTTTTCTCCCTCGTACAAAAACCCATTGGTTGAAAGGTTATTGAATTCTGTAATAAAGTCATTCAAATAATCTTTCAGGCATAGCGGTTTGCTATTTCCTAAAAACAGGGCAACAACAAATGGAGAGAAGGTGTAATTTTTTTTAAAAACTTTAGCTAATATTGGCCAGAACTGAGACCTGGAACTTTTGTATATGGGCAAACCATCAATATTACAAACTAGTTCTATGTGATAAGAATTTTCCAATGTAAATAAGGAAGATCTAATGTCATCATTAAGCAATTGGTGACGTATGCCATTCTCTATCCCAAAATAAAAAAATTCGCCGTTACATTTATCGGCAGACAGCATGGATTTAGAACAAAACTTTCTCTTGGTTTTTAGTAATGTTTTGCTGCTTTTTGGTAACTCCGGATGATACCGTCTCAAAATGGACAATAATGAGGTTAACTGTTTGTGATTGACATTTTCTATCAGAGCCCAATTTCTTAGATCACTTTCGATAGAATGTTTAAGTGGTTCTATTAAAGCATTTTGTGAAATTGTTTCATTGCGCAAGTTGTTTAGTTGTTTTCCTGTTTCTGGTGAAATTGTCTCAATGGATGGAGTAGGTGGGTAAGGCAAATTCGTTTGGCAAAGTACATCGTTACTAAGGGTAGACACACAAGGTAAATATGATTCTATAGGAGATTTACAGATGTGAACCTTAGAATCAGAGAAAACAGGGTGTACGGCGTGTTCTAAACTTTTAGATGAACTCGGCAGCTGTGTTACTAACAAGCGTCTTTTTATGAACATGGATTTTCTAGACCTTGGCATATTTGATAATGAATTTTAAATTTTAAAACTAAATTAGCTATGTAGGTAATAAGAATAAAGTAAAGAATAATGTTATTATACTACAATAAGTGAATAGGTACCTAATCTGCTTGGGTCATTGTATCATGATCTGAAGTCGTCGGAAACAGCACACGAACGCTTTCTGGGGACAAAAAACAGTAATCAAATAGATGATATATAATCAAATTTAAAATAGCTTACCTAAAACTGCTTTATACAACGTTAGTGATGAGAAATTTTTTTTCCCTTTTCTTCCAAATGCGGAGTATAATAGACTGAGCTCCTTATTCATCAATCTCTTCATAATTTGCTAGGTCGCTGTCTTAGGCGTTTCACCTCCTACTAGTGCCAAAATCTTCACCTAGAAAAGTATGAAACAAAAATTGATCATTATGGCTTAAAGAGAGTCAGTTATACTTACAAGATTTTCAAATTCTGTATCTTGCTTAACTTGTTCCTCCAGTTTCATCAAGTCCTCTTGATTCCTTGTCGGCAACTCGAAGTGTCTTGAAATTCTGGAAGGCGTAATGGTAGAGGAAGCAATAACGGCGGCAACGGACGATTCAAGCCGTGTCTGGTTAGACTTGATTTCCTTCAAATCGTATTCAATTCCGGCTATTGCTTTCATTAATTTAGTATATCGGTCTTCCGTAAGCGAGCAACGAAGGTTGGATGCAGGGTTCCTCTGTGGTGTAGCTATTGTGACGTCTGAACGTGGAAGAGAAATTAATTGATTGCGGGCATCTGTTTAATGATTTAATACCCTTAGATTTGGGAAGAGAACTGCCAGATTTTACGCGTTGTGCTTTTGAATTTTGTAGTTTTGATGTAGATCGGTACACAGCTGAACTCGATGGAGCTAAAAGATCATAAAATAAAATTCTTACCCATTCTACATCGTATTCATAATTATATACGAATCTTCTTCATTATCAAAATTAGTTACTCAAAAAAGAAGTAGATTTTGTGCAATGCATAACATGAGGTCTGTCCAAGCGCGTCTACCGAGATAATAACGAAAAAGTCTAAACTATTATGTTTTCATTGGGTCACTCAAATTGAAAGACCTATTGCAAAAAGTGTTTAACATTGTAGGCTACTGCTTTTTACGTATTCTACATGGATGTAGCTTTTATATGACGTCCGAAGTAATGTGATTAGACATAAGAGTTGCATTGCAATAAATTGGCAAACTTGAAAATATTAAATTTTACTCTACACAGTTGCAAAGTACTGCCCCACTAGGTTTTTTAAATGAAATTTGTCACTATATAGTAATAATAATATAATAATAATGGCATTTATTAAGCTTCTTCAAAAAATTAAAATAAATAATGGAAGAAAAATGAATCTAAAGCTTAAAGGGGCGAAGTTCAGTTGCCCAAGAACGGTACCGTTCCCAAGCTCTGCTCTTCCATGCTCAGCCCTTACCTAAATTTATGTTTTAATAACTACCCTAAACGTGAAATACTCATCTGTACTCATTTGTTTTAAAGTCTCGGCCACCTTTATTTCATAATTAATTAAATAAAAAATTAATAACAGTAACCTCAATGAAATGTAGTCCGTTTAATTTTAATTTTTTCATGGTTAAGTGAATTTCATTTTTTTAAAAGTATCCAAAAACATAGGTACAAGGAGTTCAATTTTAAAAAAAGTTAATTTTTTTTAATATCTAGGTAACCGGACCTACGATTGCTTTGTCAGTCGCACCATCGTAATCTCAAGAAAAAGTGGTTCAGAATGGAACACACTGTATACGCAGTATAATAGTTACCTAGTTCTGATTTGTTGTTCTCGTCCGAATTAAATGTCAGTGTATCGTCATCATCATTGCCCGATGTATCGTTTCCTTCCTCTTCAAAGGAATCCTCAATTTCTTCGCATCTAACAGAGCTAGAGCCGCTTTCGCTTTCATTGGATGTTGACCGTGATTCTATGACAGTTTCTTGAAGACGTCTCGCTGCAGCAATTGTGTTCCTTGTTCCTTTATAAACGGCGCCCAACTCTTTATAGGATACAGAAGTTTTAGGCGGTTCACATTCTTCTATTGAATGCTTCAATATTGATATGGGTACTTTTGGCCACAAATATATTGTTTTATCATCATTTACAGCCCAGGATGAGGGAATGTGATAAACAGAATTGTCTTTCTTAAAAATAACGACGTCCCAGAATTTCCTGGAAATGAATCGGTAAGCTTTTATTGCAAGCTCCAGGAAATTAGCATACAAGCACAAGACCGAAACAAGCATTTTTTTCCAAATAAACCGAGGGTCGCAAATGTTTCGTTTGGAAGTTACCCTTAAAAGTCTCCAAAATTGCATTTCTTTATAAATTTTTATCTCGAGAACCATAAGGCGTATCAAGAAGGATGGCACGCCCCGTGATAGGATATTGGGTATTCCCTCTCAGATTTTGGAAAATTTTTTCCAAAATTCCTACCCCAACATGGTGCACCCCTTACCGGGGTAACAAATTCTTATTTCAACGAAATTTGGTATTTGGGGATCTTTTAACATGAAAATATGCCATTAGTTTTTGAAAATTCGAAAAAAATTCGACTGCAATTTTTGGCCGGACAATGAAAGTGACCAGAATTTCACTAAATTTGTTGTATATGTTATGTAGGTATCTAGAAACAAAATGGTTGAACGGTTTTTTTAATACGGCTTCTGAAAAGAAAACTACATGCGCATCAGAACATTGCTCCTTCGAGTAGGTTGGAAACTCATAAGTGCGTAATTGCCAACTAGATTCGTAAGTAATTTGAAATGTGGAAAAATCGGAAAGGGCATGTGCCGCATACGCCTTATGGTTCTCAAGATAAAAATTAACAAAGAAATGCAATTTTAGAGACTTTTTTAAGCGTAACCTCCAAACGAAACATTTGCGACCCTCGGCTTATTTGAAAAACAAAATGCTTCTTTCGGTCTCCTGTATCGCCCCATTTATTTTGGCACATCTCAAATGTAACACCCTGTATACTAAATTCCTGACACTTTTAATATTTTACACCTAATCAATATTTATGAACGAAGAACCGTTCTAATACAAATATTTTATGTAGGGCTTCTATACAGTACCTACACATAATGTTATCAGTACAGTTGATATCAAGAATAGTAATTAAGTAATGTGTCCTAATAGATGCTATAGGATACTGACTGCACAATGTTAGCAAGAAGAGCTACAGGTATAATAATGTATAGAAGTAAATGCTCTACAATATAAAATTTGGAATAATTTTGAATTCCTAAATTTATATGTTATTACTATCGATCCGAGTTGAAATCCTAATTTAATTTTTTCTAATATAGTTTTTATTTAGAACGTAGTTCGAAAATAATATTGTCCATAATATTCTAGCTGGTTACATAAACAATTTTGGGCGACACACCCTTATAACTCCATAAAGTTAGAGAATGTGCAAGTATAATGACCGGTTTCTTATGAAAATTAGTTGAAGAACAACATATCTAACAGCAAATCATAAATAATGATTAAATTGCTTATTTCTATAAGAATATAAATGGAAATAATACTTACTTGGAAGGATTTACGGCCATATTGTAGTCTACACAGCACTATTAATACTTAGGTTCCAACACAATGTTTCTTAATATATACGTAGACAAAATCAGTTCAGAGAAGCTTTCAAAAATTAAGTAGACAAAACTCACAAACGATAGTAACTAATGATGGATATATTAACCACGCAACGTAACTATAAAATAAAGCAGGAAAATATAACTAGATAGATATACCGTAAACAACGAATGTAGACAAGCGGAACTGGCCTACTAGCTAGTAGCTACTATACTGCTGACTAGCACTAGAGATAAACAATTGCAATATTTGAAACTTCCCTCACCATTTAACAGGAATCAGGAATATTTGCAACAAACACGTTTTTCTTTGTTTCGTTTGTACCATTATACCTGGGCTGCACTCCGCCGGTTTCTTTGCTAATCTGTAGTGAAGGTTACTTTTAATTACCTTGCCGTTAACTTATTTTGACATTTATTTCGAAGACCTCTTATTCATTCAAATACTGAAATATTTCACATACAAAAATAACTCATTATTTTCAATATCCTTTAATAGGTGATTCGTATTTCATTTTAAGTAAACCAGGCGCTTAACACAAATTTAGTGATAGTGCTCGATAAGTTTCAATTTGCAATTTCGCTTTCGTTAGAAAAAGTATGCCTATGTCGATATTACGTCTTTTATAATGCAAAAAAAAATAAATTTATGTGCCACGCGCTTCCCCAATGGTACCGATTCAGGATACACGTATAAAAAAACGAGATAGAAAAGAAATATTAATAAACAATATTAGTAACTGCCTATGAAATTTGATTTTCCATAATATTAAGTTGGTGTCAGACAGTCTATATAGCAACCCCGCACGTGATTGCTAATAAATAAACTCGGTATAAACAGACGTCTCCAATTTTCGATAAGAAAATTTGGATGGATTTCAAAAATAATGGTGGTGTATCAAAATTGGCAATCGGTTATGATTAAGCACACACGAAAGTATCTAATTCCCGAGCTTAATCCAAAATCCACCCTGTTTCATCACATCACATAAATAGAGGCGTAATTAATTGTTAAATTTTGTGATAACAATTGACGTCCCCAACTTGATTTCGAAATGTCCCTGGACCTAATAATAAAATAGATTTGGATCGTTGAATGAAGCCAATGAAGGGATCCTTCATCAACGTTTGGATGTTTTAAACCGTTGTATTAATGAAATAGGTATATCAAACTTTGGATTTTACAATAATTGGGAGATTTTTGAAGGATCTGTGCTAATATGCAAACCTTTTAATTCATAGTTAGCACATTCCCACAACAATAAATAAGAACAACAAATAAAGCCATCGCACAGCGATTGGTTAAAGCGTATTTTTCGTATTTGCGTTACAGGTGATAAAATCAGGTCGAATGTCAGCTACCCTTGGATGTGTTTCATGACCTATTACTTTTTCGTTGTGAAATATTCTCATTTGAAATGATGCTCTGTAATTTCGATTTGTTTAGACGGAAAATGATCAATTGCCTTTATCGAGAGGACAGCAAAATTTTCGAAAAAATCACTCCATAAATAAGAAAGGTACTGGATTGAATTTTATTAGAAGTAGCGATATCTTTGTCAATGACAAAGTTGAGGTACGCTTGTGTGGAAGGGAAATGTATTCGAAATTCTTGTTCAATCACGGTGATTTGTAGCGATGAGTCGCTGATGTTACATGTCTTGATTAAAAACTGCTCTTTATTTAAAAAAATGTTTTTAATAACAACATTTACAATTGGATTAGATATTGCATTGCATACGAGATGTTAACAAGTGACACGAAAAAGGAATTTGTACGTGTTGGTCTAAGAATGCGAAATTTTACTTTTATGTAAATGTTTTTAAGTAGTAGGTAGAAATTTACCCCTAAATAACAAGTTTTCTTCACAGCAAAGTTGGATTTAAATTCAAGGACATCTAGGTAGTACAGTTTTACCAGTGTTAGTTAACAAGGATACAAAGTTTCAAAGCTTATTTTATAATCATTTACCCCTTTTTCGCTTTAAATTAGGTATCAGAAAATTAAACCAGTAGGAAATAAAGAAAATAGAAAAAAAATTACCAACGATAACAACATAATCGAAATTGCTCTTTTGAATATCGTCCAATGATCAATGGAAGTGTAATTAAGATCAATAGATGTAAACAAAATTTGTCTCATCAGTGAAATAATAGTTCATTGCATTCTTATCCTGTAAACATCTCTACTTATTAGAAATCAATTTAATTATCTTAATCTGCCGTCATTATAGGCAAGAAAGACTAAGTACCTATGTAAATTAACATTCCACTTTCTACCCATCAAAAATATTTGGAAATTATTCTTAGGAGGCATCTACACCCCGCGCAAAAACTTCTCTAAAAGTGTCTGTTTTTTCTCAAACAAAATATACCTAATGACGAAAAGAGTTAATATTTATTTAAGGGTGTTAACAAGTAACCTAAATTAAACGATGCCAGCACTTTCTCATGACAATTTTCGTAAAATTTTTCAGTTGCGGCGTCCCGAGCCGTGTCTATTTACTGGTATATAATACACTTTTTTTTAGTTATTGTCTATGTATTTGAGCACAGGACGGTTCATGCTAGGACTGTATCTAGTTTTTTTTGTATTAAAATGTTTGTTCAAAATATACGAACCTTTGAATAATGTCTAAAATAGCAGTTCTTTGTCATTCTGCAGCTTTGTATTTGAAGTTTCTATTTAATATAAAATTAGATACAATCCTCGATCTGTCCTTAATAAACATAAACGTAATTTTATGTTCTTTAAGAAAAAACAGACACTGCGCGAAACCTTTTAGAGAGGTTTTTGCGGGGGGTGTAGATGCCTCTTAAGTTGTAGGTTTAAATGTTTTCGTTTTATAACATTAGGGTTATTATAATAAAAAGAAGATATCTAATTAATAAAATTTTGTAAACGTTTATGTAAGGCATCATATAAATGAGCAAACTGCTAGTAAAATTAATTATTTTTACATTTTATCAAGTGGGGCGAGTTGATTTTCCATATCTATTAATTTAAATCATAGGTTTTATCATTAAATAGAAAAGGTATTTACCATTTAAAAGGGCACGATTTCGTAAATTTAAAAAAAAAGGTTGTTGGTATCTAAAAAAACTAAATTTCACAACCTTTTTGAGTTTCCGCTTATCTCTAAGTACGGATTTTGAAGATTATAGTTGAAATAGTTTTTCGTACTATATTAAATTTTATGAGTGTAGGTAATAAGACCCAACGTCGAAAATGCAAAATATTTCTAATTGATCAACTTATACAGGATGTTACAAAAATAGTGGGCTGACTATATGCACGCGGCTTCTACGATTAAAAATAAGAAAAAAAGTCTAATTAAACATATCTTCTAAAGTGGCTCGTTACTGAGCTACAGCTACTGGAAATTTTTTTTTATTCAGAACGATAACAATAAACGGATCTTTTAAACTGAAATTATTATAATAAATGTTCAAAATGACCTCCACGGGCAGCAACACACATCTGAGCTCGTCGGATCATGGACTGTCTCACGCGTTCAAAAATTCCTGGAACGTTTCGAATTTGCTGGCATCCGTCTACGACTCTCTGTCGAAGATCCTCAGCATCTTCGACTTGAGTAGAATACACCATAGATTTTAGATGATTAAAGTGCGCATTACCTACTTGATAACGGTCTGATTTCAATTTAGTGATTACCTACTTGATAAAGGTTCCGTTTATTGTTATCGTTATGAATAAAAAATAAAAAACTTCCAGTATAGCTGTAGCTCATTAACGAGCCACTTTAGAGATATGTTTAATTAGACTTTTTTTTCTTATTTCTAGTCGTAGAAGCCGCCTGCATATAGTCAGCCCACCATTTTTGTAACACCCTGTATAACTCAAAGTTGTTGTCTTAATGGAATTTAAACAGCCATTTATAATTGGTAGGGCAATTAGTACCAAAGCTTTTGCACTGTAAGTATCTACCTCTCAATGAAATTATGGGACCATGCGGTGTGGCTTTCTAAGCTTACAAAAGTGCATGCGGTAAGATTTTTCAGTGGATATTGGAATCCCATTTCGTTGGAGTTGGATACTATTCTATCGATAGCCTGTTGCATTGTTCTATTCATTTCTCTCATAGTAAGTGCAGAGTAGAGAATGGTTAAGTCATCTACATAAAGATACGTATTAGAAACAGACCTGGTTAGGGAATTGATTGCAATGACAAATAGTACTATACTTAAAGTAGATCCCTGTCGAATACCGTTCTCTATATTCCTAGAAGCCGACAACGAGTTCTCCATTCGAACACGAAAGATACGATGCTTTTAAAAAAGACGATATAAGTTTTGGAAGCTTCCCCCTTAATCCCCATTGGTGGAACGTTTGTATTACTCCGTATCTCCACGTCATGTCGAAGGCTTTCTCCACATCAAAAAATACGGCAACAGCATGATGCCTGTGTAAAAAGGTCTGCAGCACTACAGTTTGTAGATGCAATTGTAACCAAAATAGCTAGTTTGATTTCCCGAATAAATTTCCACTCAACACAAATTGCAGAAATCACATTTTTTTAAATCCAATACGGACTTATCCATATAGATTTTCCAGTATTGCATTTACATTGGTAGAATGTAGCGCAGCTAATATTGTAAAGAGGCAGGTTAATTTATATTGAACCATGGTTTTACAATACAACGTTGTGAATACAATATTAGCGCTATGTTGAATAAATATTATAGTAACAATATTGGATTAAAGGTGGTAATATGCCATACCAATTCTTGGATTATCCATTTAGTGTTTTTCCAGTATTGGATTCAGATTGGATAAATAAATAAATATTGTAGACAGGTCGATCAATTTATATTTAATCTATAGTATAAAAACATCGTTCTGGTTGTCATGAATATAATTTTGGCAGTATATTCATTAAAGATTGTACTAACAGTATTAGATTAAAAGTGGTAATATTATATCGTACCAATTTTGACTTG